ATCCAGAATAGAATTCAAAATCTTACTTCCAACCTACAAAGCACTCAACAACCTGGCTCCATCTTATATTACAGATCTTATTGTTCCATATTTTCCTAACAGAGCACTTCGCTCTCAGGCTGCAGGTTTACTTGTGGCTCTTAGAATTTACAAAAACAGAATGGGAGGAAGATCCTTCAGTTATCAGGTTCCTCTCTTGTTGAACCAACTTCCAATCTCTGTCCGTGAGGCTGACACATTATCTAGTTTTAAAACTAGACTTAAGACTTTCCTTTTTGATAAATCCTATAGTTAGGGTTGGCTTGGGTTTCCTGAGCTGTCCCTTAGTCATGCTGCTATAGGCTTAGACTGCTGGAGGACAAACTAACCACACTTTTCACTCTGATACTGTCTTTACTTACTCTGCTCAACCTGTTTTGTATTTGTAATTATTTTTTCTATCATTAACATGTGTTTTTTTGTCTTTCAGGTACACCTGGACCGATACCTGGACCTATCATTCTGTGTTCGTCTGTCTCTCCTTCCTGTCCTCTCAACCAGCCGGTCAAAGCAGATGGCCGCTTGTCCTGAGCCTGGTTCTGCTGGAGGTTTCTTCCTTTTAAAAAGGAGTTTTTCCTTTCCACTGTTGCCACTGTGCTTGCTCAGGAGACTGCAACAAAGCCAAGATTCATCTTGTCTGCTGGATTCCTTAGATAGAGAACTTTACTAATTGGCTTTTATGTGAATGTTTCTGTAAAGTACCCTGAGACAATTTTGTTGCGATTTGGTGCTATATAAATAAACTGAATTGAATTGAATTAAACACGTCTTTCTTGTAAATGAGTCCTGGTGACTCAATGAGACTAACATGTATAAATAAAGGTTGAATTAATAACATACATGACTTGATTTCTGTCCAATATTTCATGACAAGCAGATATTGAATATATAATGTTCACAATTTGCAAGTACATATGATTGAAGATAAGAACTTTAGAGAAAAAATACCCAATTTCTAAAGATCTTATGTCACTTTAACAGATTAGCCAAGGCAATAATGTTGCATATTTCATGTTTCAAAAGGACTGGTGTCAATATTTAATACCAATATTAAACAAAACAATGTTTTAAAAAACGAGATACAATTGTATGTAAGCACACTGTTGCTGGTGTGGAATAAAGGCACACACTCATTCACACTTCCCCACAAGTTGAATCGTGCATATACTGACACACTGTGAGAAAAAGAGCAGGCGAGGGGGGCTTGCAGTAGCACAAAGCCGCCTTGCTTTAACGAGTGTGTTTCTTCATGTGCCAGTCCTCAGGGATCGGCTTCCATTTTCATGTGGGCGAGCAGGTGTGTAATACATTCTGGCAGTCGGGGAATAGAAACAGAAAAAGGAGGGATGGAGGGATGGAGAATGTGCTGGATTTCCCACCAATTAAGACTGAGCAGGGGTCACTCTGCCTCTAATCTATAATTGAATGCGTGACTGTTCATGTCTGGGACTGACTCTGTGGATTTGGACGTGTGTGTGTACACACACACAAGCAGTGTTTGCTCCGAGGATATAATGCTCCTGATTGATGGACAGAGAGTGCAAGTGAAAGAGAATACCAGAGAAAACAAGATGTGTGGGTGTTTATAAGCAAAGCTGACATCAGGACCCCAATTAGGGACCAGTGTGCTTTGCTGCTAGTGTTGGTGGAGAACCAGATTGAGACGGAGGCTGAGAGAGTCTGAGCAGGAGAGTAATTAAAGCACTGTGACCAAAAAAACCCTCGTTAATGTTCTCATGAGGCACTGCATGTGTGTGTATGTAACTAACAGACATGATATCATGTGTGTTCTTTAAAATATGACCTGAAAATCAATTATAATTTAACATGAAGATTGTCAGTGGGAATTCAGTGAGAAGGAAAAAAAAGCTAAAAAGGCTAAAAAAAAAAAAGACTGCTCAAACAATCAATCAACTAATAAGCTGAAAAATTAGCTGTGAAAAAAAGATTAATTACACTGATAAGTTTAAGTCATTTAAGCTAAAAACCTTTGTAAATTAACAGAGGTTGAACTCATCAGCTGCTCATCAGTAAATTATGCAAAGAAACTGTTCTGGTAAGAGTGGTGCATGTCTAAACCATTTACAGTCGGTGTAGACCTGCACCTGGCTTTATCTGACGCATGATCTGCTTATCCAGAGGAATCCACAGTTTGTGTTATTAAAATGAATAAAGAACAACTCTGTCCAATCCTTCCTGCACAACGGTGCTTCTAATCTAATAAACGAGTCAAAGGACAATCAGCCTTCGGTTTCTGTAGATACAGGTGTGCTTTAAACGTGACAGATTATCGTCTATAGTCACTCACTGCCTTCTTTTAGTTAATCTGATTTACTGAAGGTAAAGTGTAAAGGATATACACCCTAAATGATTTGCTGCTGAATTTCATTTGCATCAAACCACACAAATCTAATGCAAGCTAGATGAAGAGCAGGGCCTTGTTAAACTTTTTATGCAATATCAGTCAATATTGATCCAGAGTTTGCAGTTTACCGATGATGTTCTACGAATACGAGGATAATGCACTTTTTTCAAATCAAGATATTTATTATAGGCTAAGAATTATGTGCTACAAGGTATTTTAGAAATAATTGCCTATCAATTTGAAAAATATCTCCATAAAATCCATATTAGTGCCCGTGCAGCTGTCAGTCAAACAGCAGCACCAACAGCTTCCTGCTGTTATGCAACCACCTCGGTGACTCCTGAATCTTTGCTGAATACCAACAAACCTTTAGAGAGCAGCCGCTGAGAGCCACAATAAAAAAAGTCTCACTTGTTCTAGTTGGACACAGGAAATTATCCACTCTTTGCATGAATTACTAAACTGCTAATATTCTGAGCTGGCAGTATTTTTTACTCAACCAAACGGTTTCTAGTGCTTTAGCACCTTTCGTATTTCAAACGTTGTATAGATTTAAAGAATAGCACAATCGTACAAAACTTCTCAGAATTCTTATCCAGTTACATCATTTGTTCTCTAATACTGCTACATTCATATTTCTTTGGTTTAAACCAAATTTCATTACGTGCCCATCAAGGTCACAGAGGCACAGCTAAGCTACCTTCAGTTTTATACAAACACAAAACTCTAAACATGATGAATTCATTTCACTTCATGGCTCGTATGCTTTTTTTAAGATTCATTAAGATTAATGCAAAAGGGGGGATAATACTCTTCCTATGCTGATGATTATTTTTTCTATTTTGTGTTCATGTATTGAGAATCCAGACAACGAGAGTGACAAAGTGCAAGACCTAAGTGTGACAGGCTAAGATGGAGGATCACATAACACGAGAGCGAATAGAGGAGATAAGGTGAAGACTTGACATTTGATAAGTTCTCATTGACTTAAATCTAAAAAGCGGATAAATACACGTGGACCCACACCCAAAAACAATTTTGTTATTTGAATTATTAAGCCCAAAACAAGTGTGGGACAGCCGGATAAAGAAAATAGCCTGATTACTGGTACCATAGGTCAGCAGGTCAGAGAGGGATTGGGTGAAAAATACTGACATTTAATAATTTCCCTATTAATCTCCATTCACAGATGCTTTGTTAGTGTCTTAGTCAAACAATAACGGTCATCCAGAAGCCATTACAAAAGCTGCTACTTTAACAGAATTAGTTACAGACTGCAGCTTGATAAAAACTAACCAACACTTGACATTTACATGACATTCACTGAACAGTTCCGCCCCATCCTATCTCACTGATCTTCTGCAGCCATATGTCCCACCGCGCTCTCTGAGGTCAGCAGACCAGATGCTTCTCTCAGTCCCAGAAACCTGCCGTAAGCTCAGAGGTGACAGGGCTTTCTCTGTTGCAGGTCCACGACTGTGGAATGAGTTGCCACTGAGTGTCCGGCAGGCTCCCACACTCTCAGTCTTTAAGTCTCGCTTGAAGACCCACTTCTATTCGCTTGCCTTTAACATGGTGTGATTTGTTTTGGTCCGGTCTGTTCTCTACTCTGTTGGCCATTTTAGTTAGCTTCTGCTGCTATTTGTATCTGTATTTCTATTTTATGTTTTCCTGTCCGCTGTGCATGTTTGTTTTCTTTTGTACAGCACTTTGGTTGGCCTTGTTGCTGTTTTAAGTGCTCTATAAATAAATTGGTATGGTATGGTATGGTATTTACATTAAAGACTAAATGTCATGGACTTCATTTTAAAGCAAAGTCAGGTGGGTGGATAAAACCAGAACACATGACTGGATCTTTAAAGACACTTCCTTGAACATGGTAGTCTAAAAGCCCAAAGTAAATTAAGTAGACAGGTTGTCGACCAAGTGACAGGAATATAGCGGAGTGCATCAGGACAGACAGAGAGACGTGTGTGAAAAAGACTACAACAATAGGGATGGTATTCAAACCCTTTTACCCAAAACTCCAACGTGTTTCATTTATTTTTCATGTTTACTCCGTTTATCATTCGAACCTCCCGTCTGTTGTTCTGTCTCCGTTTCATTTGAAGACAGCCATGTTTGACTTGTCAGTGCAGTTTAGCGTAAGCACCCCATCTTCCTCTCTTCCTATGACACTCTCAGACATGTCCTGAACAATCATTTCAACTTCCTCTGTGACTCCTTATTTCCTTTCTTACCATAATCATCATTCCATTTTCCCTGGTTTGCAATCCAATCTGTTTTTCTTCCACATTCTATTTGCATGAATAAATAAATGTGTGCGTCAATAAAAAGAGCTCTGTGGGCGAAACCAGCATGTAAGGGGGAAGCCCATTATTTTTTTTTTACCAACAGAATCAATCAGACTCAAGGCAAAGGTTTGTTTTGTTTAGCAGTGCTTCAACACACGGGCACATAAATCAAAGACAGCCACAGAGCTTGGATCCATGCCACCCCCCCACAGCCGCACCTTCCTCATCTCCATCTGTGTTTATGGGTTACAAAATGAATGACAAGTTCACTGACACAAGTGTAGAGTTCAGCTTTCTCTTACCTCTCTGCACCAGCATGGTGACCTCACTGCCTTTTGGACACTTGCTGAGCAGGTCCACCACCTGGTTGTGAGACATGCTCTGCACATTTCTTTTGTTCACCTCGACGATGATGTCCCCCTCCCTGAGGCCACGGCAGCGTGGGTAGTCCACAATCTGCTTCACTCTCTGTCCTCCACCACCGGGACTGTCCGCAATTGTGAAGCCAAAGCCCTTGTCTCCTTTCTCCATGTGTACAGTGATGAGTTCAGGTTGTGTTGCAATGGCTGATGCCAAGGTTACCACGTCACTGGAGTAACCAAGCTGGGAGGAGGTATCAGAAGCAGTCTCTGTAGTGGGGCTAAGAGGTTGGGGGAGGCCATTGAGAGGTGCCACTCCACCGTTGATAGGGCCATTGTTGAGGCTCTGACTGCCTTGGCTAGATGGCGAGTCATAGCTGTTGGAGACTTCCTGGCCATTGACGATTATGGGTTCTTTGTTGTCAAGAATGGCCACTGAGGTAACCAGGCTGGTGTTCGGATCGTCCGGGTCAAAAGGCAGAGGATAGCCACGACAAAGCTCCAAGTTGACCATGGAACCAATGGGAATCGACTGAAAGATCTTTACAACTTGGGCATGTGTGTAGCCTAGTACGCAGGTGTCATTGACGCTCACAATCACGTCACCTTTAAGCAAAGTAAAGGTAACAATTACTTTAGAAAAGTAAAACACTCACTTGGAAAATAAAACTCGAATCATTAGGTACTTTACGAACAGCCTTTCAGCTGAACCAGAATTTCTTCCTCAAATAATAAAACAAGTTCAAGCTTACAAACCTGTCTCCATTTTGCCATCGAGGGCAGCAGGTCCATCAAGAACTAAGCTCTTTATCTGGAGGAACTCATCAGGTTCATCCCCTCCAACAACAGTAAAACCAAACCCTCTACGACTCTTCTTTAGTTTGGTATTAATAAAGGTCCCGTTCAGTTCAGATCGGTTCCGAGTGAAGAAAGGCTTTCCTCCTGAACACACAAACACAAACATTTCAACGTCATGCGCATTTTTGTAGAAACACACATTTACTACAGAGGAGTGGAATCAACATGGATGGATACTAATTGAGCCACTAGAGTCACTCTCAGTCTTGAGAAATAAGGCGCTCTCAGCTCTAGCAGTTATAAGGACTCTCTGAAGATTATAAGGACTGTTAGTCCCTCTTTGAGGTAGTTGTAAGGACCTACCCATTTGTGTTCACTCCTTCAGGAGGAATTGATGATTGTGCCACAGTTGGTAATTGATCAATGTGATCACGTCAATTATGATGCTCATACTAGAAAAGCTGTATTCACATACGGCTGTGGCTGAGTGGTTAGAGCAGTCGTCCTCCAATGCAAGAGTTGGGGGTTCGATTCCACAAACAGTCACATGCTGAAGTGTCTCTGGGCAAGACACTGAACCCCTCATTGCCTCCGATGTGTGTCCCATCAGTGTATGAATGTGATAAAGCTCTGATTATTCTTTGTACAGATACAGTGGAGTGCTGTATGAATGGGTAAATGAGGGCACAGATTATGTTGTAAAGCGCTTTGAGTATCTTGATTAGATAGAAAGGTGCTATATAAGTACAGTCCATTTACCATTTACATAGCTAGTGTTTATTTGCTTAGCCAACCAACACTTATGATTGGACCAATAATTTCTCTTATGACACTCAACAGTCCCTATTGAGCCAATAAAGCTTCTACTCTAAAGCTAAAAAAATAGTTATAGGGAATAGCTACAGTACCTGCAAACTAACTAACTAAATAACAAGCTAACTACCTCAAATAATTAAAGAAATGCCAAATGGTTTGCTAGGAACCCAAAAGCATGGACATCCTGCATTTCAGCATCAATGAAACCCTGTCTACCCATGTTTGTCTTTTTGTTTCTTTGGACGGGCTGTACTGAAATGTAATTTTGTTGTGCTTCTGTGCAATGACAATAAAGGCATTCTGCTTCTGATTCTGAAAGGCAATTGCTTTTGGATGCTAGCTCATCCTGCACAAATACAATAAAAATTAAGGTTGAAAACATGATTCCATGGCGGCACAGTGATTTAGTTGGTAGAGCTGCCGCCTCTCCATGAGAAGGTCGCTTCAGTTCAAATCCTGGGCAGAGTCCTTTCTGGGTGGAGTTTGCATGTTCTCTCCGTGCATGTGTGGGTTTTCTCCGGGTACTCTAGTTTCCTTCCACAGACCAAAAACATGCATGTTAGACTGATTGATAACTCTAAATTGTCCCTAGGTGAGACTGAGAGAGTGAATGGTTGTTTGTCTCATTTGTCTCTAAGTGGCCCTCTGATGGGTCTGGTCTCTCTTGTAAATAAGTTCCAGAGGCTCAGTGGTATTAACCTGTATAAATGAAGGTTGAATGAATGGACTGGAGACCTGTCCATGGTTTCCACTGCTTCTCTTGCAGTGATGGCTGGATATGGGCACCAGTGACCCCCGTGACACGAAAAGGAAGAAGAGGGTAAGATAATGGATGAATGGATGGATGGATGGATGCATGGATGGAACATGATTCCACAACTGCATGTGCTGAAGGACTGGAGTACTACCAGTGGACATGTGTCTTTATTAATTTCACGTTGTGGATCATCTGTGATGGATTTCTCATGAAATCAGTCTGCAGTCTTTTTCAGTCAAGCATCTCAAAAGCATGAATAATGATAAACCTCCATGTTGTTCTTGTGGTCTTTCTGAACGAGACACTGATCCAGGCACCAAATGGTAACAAGTGAATAAATTAGACTAAAAGTAAATCAATGTAATCCAGTGACGCAGCTGAAAGCTTTTTCCCATCGAGTGCTAACATTTGATCCTAGCACACCAGCACCTCTTAAAATGATAAACACTAAAATTAGATCTAATGATCTATTGATGGAGATGATTTTACTGATCTTCACATGATGGATATCTGATGTAAACTGGTATTAATATTTAAGAGCATAGCTTTAGACAACTGCCTTTTTGAAATTTGATTCACAGGTTTGCTTACAAAAACGTCACTTGTTCTAAAGACAGAATGCTGTAATTCTAACATAGTTCCTTTTTTAATATTTTGCCTTCATCCAAGTAATTAAACATGAAATGACTAAATGTTTGAGACAAAAACCTAATTTCTATTGTAAGGTGCTATTTACCATCTAAAATGTGAAGAACTGAGAAATAAAGTGCAACACGTGAACGCAGACGCATAAAAGCTAAGGTTTAATTTATTATAAAATACTTTATTTAGGCTGTATGTTATCCCAGCATGTTTCTTGATGTGTTTCAGACACATTTTGACACAGAAATAAAAACAAAAGATGTGTATGATGGAAAGTGTGTACATCAGAGGAATGGGTGTTTAGTAATCAGCAGTACCACATCATGTTCAGGCAGTGGCATGGTTTGTGCACACAATGAAAAATGTATTACCCTTGGAGTGAGTTTACGTCCTTGTGTTTATAGAGGCCATGCTACTGATAGTGTTACTCAGACATGCAAGATGCGATTAGACTGGGAGCTGTTAATGCCTTTTTCTTTACAGAACGTATAAGAAGCAGGAATCAAGATTTCACATGACGTCTTCCTCTGCTGGGACATCTAAAGGAAGCACATTCATGTGAAAGCAGGCTAGAATGAGAGTGATGAGGAGAAAGAACGATGGACTACACCATCAACTGAAGCAAAACAGACAGTGGCGGAAAGAGACGGGACAAAAGCCAACAAGACAGCGAGCTATAAAACAAAGCTCGACAAAGGAAAAGGTGTCCGACGGAGTGGCAAGGGAGAGTAAAAGGACGAGCCAGAATGAGGCCGTTAATTCTCCTCCAAGGTTGGGCTAATTAGACAAGCTGCTGGTGGGAGGCTGGGATGAAAAGAGCTGGCATCGAGGAGAAGGAAAACCACAGCAGTCGTAGGTGCATGGCTAAACGAGGGGTGAAATCAGGCCGTTATTGGATTTCAACATGGGACATAACAAAACTGAACTAATCACATTCTTATTTGGAACGTCTGCCAAAAAATATTTAAAGAAACGGGAGCCGTTGTGCATTAAATATGTGATAAGTTTATTAAGAATATATGAAACTGCTTTATAGTGTGAGTTTCATGCTGGATTTTCATCATGAAAACTAAAGCATGGCCTTAGGCACAAGCGCAAAAAAGTATTGTAGAACAATCTTGTACAGCACGAAGTTGCTCAGAGAAACACAGACTGTACTGTAAGTGGAAAAGTAATGAGGTTTAAAACATTAATTCAACTTACGTTTTTGTCCCATGGCACTGGGCACGGTGGGACCTATTTGGGGCTCCCTGTAGGTCTCATGGTTGGCAGCATAGCTGGCCAATGGAGCCCCTGCTAATGCCGAGTCCTCGATCCACTCTGCAACATCAAGAAGCACACATTCTCTAGATGGAGTCTGGACAGGAGCACTCCTACTTTTAGAAGAACAACTCAGGACTCCTGTGTTTGGGAAGCAGCTCGTTTGGTTTCTGTGAAGCTCAGTGAAGAAGTACTGAGCAACAAGTGAATGGTTGTACTTAAAGTAAGTCACAAAGTCATTATTAAAACAAAGTTATTTTAAATTGGCTGCCATCTGTCACCTGCAGATGTTTAATAATAGCTCAGAGGGCAGTTGGACATGAGCCATTTCCAGTTTCAAATCCACAATGTGAAAACGTCACATTATCAAAACCACCAATTTATTTATTTATTTATTTTTCCTGTATCATTCATACAGTATAAATACCTTTTGATAAGAAAGCAGAGACAATGGTTAAGATTACTTTAGAAATCCAAATAAATAGACAAGTTACTTGTGCTATAGTATTGTTTTAGTCTGCCTTTTATTTATTTATTTTATTTTATTGTAATCAATTAATCTCCAATAGGGAAATTACTGGTAATTATCTGCATTTTCCCCGTTGCGCATGTGAGCACACATGTGAATGAAGCTTGGGGCTGCCATCCGAGGTGCCCGGGGAGCAGCTGCGGGGTTGAGGGTGGTGGGGGTTTAAGGGCCTTGCTCACGGGCCAGAGTGGGGCAAATGAGGGTGGAGGCAGGTGTGGGTGTTTCACCTTTTCCACCCACATTTGATGTTGTCGGTCCAGGGAGCTGACCGGCGACCCTCCAACCACAGGCCCACCCTCTCAAACCTCTGTGCCACCGCTCCCCTTTTGCGTATACATCTCTTTTCAAACAGCCTACTTGACTCTGGTGTTTTTACGGACACTATTTTAAATTTAACTTCAACATTTGTGATTAAATTAAACATTTTAGTCTTAATCACAAAGATCGTAGTAAATACAAATGTAATCATTGGCTGATAACAACTGGAGTGACAGTCATTTCTGCTACTGTTAGTTTCTATGCATCAGAAAAAAAATGTATATACTATATTAGGCAATATATTATTATAACTATAATATAATATAATCACTAGTAAGCAATATGTGGTATTTAGACAGGGGCAGTAATAGTATTTAAATAGAAGCACATAAACCATGTACTGTAGTTGTGCATTATTCAATTTCTGTTTCAATAATATCATGAAACTTTGTTTAAGGTTATCGTCCCATCACAATCTCACACTAGCCCATACCTAAGTGCAACCATTTAATTAAATATTCCCAGTGGTGAGATATAATTATTAAAGATGTGGGGGAGTGGGGTACAAACTAAGCATGAAAAGATGTATTTTTGTAGAAGGGCTCTGCTTTCATATTAGGTGGATGTCAGTGGGTGAATTTAATGTTTCCTGCTGAATGAGCAGACGATGGAGAACAATAGGAGAATCCTATTAAGGATAAAAGCTTTATTTACAATACATTTCTTTGTGGGGCATCCAGTGAGTAAATACGCTGTAAACCAGCATGCAGGAGCAGCATGGAGTCATTTCCTGGTTAAGATTTGGCAGCTTTGTCTAAGTATTTTACCAAAATACTACAGTATTAGTCTCATTATTGTTAGGTTTTAATTAAATTAGAAATCAGACTCATTTTTAGAAATTAATAATTTCAGCAGAAGTCATATTTGTTCTTCGCCTTGGGAGAAAAGCTTACAGGTTATAATCACAAATAAAAAATACAAAAACAAAAGAAAACAAATAATTTTAAAAGGCTACGTTGTACAGCCGCAAATAATAGTTATGTCTTTATGGAAGGGCACTTAGCAAATCATAAAGCTGTAGCAGGCAACGCCACAAAGAACAGCAGCAGTAACTGGTATAAAACGTTCGTACACACACAGAGACACGCATTATTCAGGCATCCACATGAGGAGAAAGAAAGAAAATGACGCCCTTGGTGGGGGCTTGTGAACGAACCTCGGATGTAGCGCTCACCTTCAGGTGGCTGCTGGCTCTGGGGCTGAGGCTGCTGGGGCAGATGCTCCAGCTGCCTGCGCTTCTTAGCCTCCAGCACTGGGTTCTCATACTGGGTCTTCCTGTTTATATGACTAGGAGTTTGCAGAACAGGAGGGATGAAATTACAGGAGATAAACGCAGTAGAAGAAAAAAAAAAATCAGGATATTGGGGGAAACAGCAGGGAGGGACAGCATGGTGGGGAAAACAATCCAGAAAAAGATAAAAAGAAGGAAGAACACAGGAACAGGGTGAAGGAACGAGGGCAGGGGTGGAGACAAGGAGATGAGTTTTAATAAACTAAAACAAAAATACTCATGAACCTGTGCTAGGATGAGTCTTCCTGGCTGAGATGTCCATGAAGTAACGCACGAATCAAGCTCTAGGATGATAGCTAATCTATTAGACATCTTTTAAATTAGACCCATGCAGAAGAAATGGACGTGTCCTTACAAAAAACAAAAAAAAAGAAACCTGGAAGTTTTGTATTAAATGGCAAATGAAGGCAACTGTGAATAATGTGCATGAAAAAATATACTCTAAAGAGAAACTGAAAGTAGAAATGCCTCGTGCTTGAGCCCCCAGGTGCTGCTTTGAACAACATCAAAAATGTGTGAAACATATTTATATTAATGGTGCAGGCCAGCGGCTGCACGCCGTCTTTGATACATGAAACACACACACACAAACATGCTTGCTGCTCATTTTCCCAGATGGTATAGATGCAAACAAAACGGCCTACATTTGCCAGGATGCAAATTTTCTAAATAGCTGAGGCACAATCTGGCTGTGATTGTCTCTGAGTTACAATAAGACGAGAAGTTGTTCTTGTTAGAATGAAAATGTGCAGATCTCCTTCATTTTATGTGCATAAAGAATCATTACTTTTGTCTTATTTTTATTCTGCATGCATGAGTAAAACTCTGAAGCGTCCTTGTGTTTCATACTGTGAGACAACTTACTCAACGTAGTAGACCCCGTAGACTGGATCGTCTATTTTCTCCCATCCTGGTGGAAGCTCTGCAAGGACAGCAGAGACACAATGAGACAGAGGACATGGAGAAAACCTAAGGTGGCAAACTACAGTAGTCCCTCGCCACTTCGTGGTTTCTCTTTTGCGGTTTGTCAAAGATTGTCAACTTTAATATTAGTCAGGTGATTGGGACATTATAGGATAAAAAGTTAACAAAAAATAAAATACTTCCGACAAGCGCCGCCATTTTGTAGTTTTCTTTCAATTAGCCTGTACTGTAACGCCAGTCAAAGAACTACACTACCCAGTAGGTGTGTAACAATACATCAATTTAAACCGATATATCGATTAAATGATTAATGATTCAATTATATCCTGGCAAAACTAAAACATTGATTCATATCGTCATCTTTAAAATACGCTTTTATTTTGAAATTCCCAAGGCACGGCTGTGGTACCATTTCCGTGCGCGGCTGCGCTCTGCGGCCGCCTCAGCAACATGGCAAACGAGGCAGAAAACACAGAAAATGAAATTCACTCTCCTGCTGGATTTAAATCAACACTGTGGAAATATTCTGGATTCTGACAGAAGGACGGCTCAACAGACAAAACTCATGACGTATTCAACAGGCGTCAGTGTGAGTTCAAATACTCGGGAAACAACAAATATGTCCGTTCACCTGAAGAAGAAACACGGCATTGATAGCCATGTTATGTAAGCTCAATATCTATGTTTGTTTCTTTATAACTGAAAGGTAATCAGGACACTTTCAAGTTAACTGGTTTAAAAAATGCACTTAAACATGAGAAATGTGAGACGATACTGAACAGATCATTTTTATTTTTTTATTAATTAAGAAAAAACAATGTTTTTATTTAAATGCCTGGTGCCTGTAATAATAGAAATAAAATGATAACATCATATTTGAATTGTTTTTGTAAATGTATTTATATGTAAATGAGATGGGCATTTGGTATCGCAATATTTGATATATATTGGTCCTTACTCATAGTGACTCGGCACTCAATGGATGCAGAGAGCCGATCAGTACCCGACCAGAACCGGACCAGGACTACTTCTAGCCTCATCGTTCAATCTGAGTTCTTCTTGCCGGCCCACGAAGCCTCTCGAGCAGGGAGGTGTTGCTTTGAGGTCCGGTGCCTTTTCCAGGGCTCATCCGAACTTTTTTCATCCGGATCCCTCTGGATTATTTGGACTCGATCGGGACCATTGTGCGGTTTTGTGTTGGCTCTCCGAAGGTCCGGCTCTCTCCAAAATCATCTGGTGCTTAACGGCTGCATAGAGCCGATCAGAACCGGACCAAAACCAGACCAAGACTGGTAAGTACCCACATAAAATTTTGCAGTACTGTACAGTACATATATGTATGTTGTTAAAATGATGTAGGTTTAAGAGTTTAGAACATTGTATGAGTGTGGGAAGGGTTTATAAAAACTTTATATATATATATATATATATATATATATATATATATATATATATATATATATACTAAAATAAATATAGTGCTCCTACTTCGTGGTTTTCCACCTATTGCGGGGGGTGTGTGGAACGTAACCCCCATGATAACTGAGGGACTACTGTACCAGGAAGCCTTGCATTCATCTATGAGATGAAGCCAGGAGAAACCTTCTGCCTGTCAGTCAGTGTTCAGGACTAAAGTAACCCAGCAGCTTCACAGGCTGTCTGGCTGCCCCCCCACCTCTGTCACCTTAAACTGTTGACCTTTCAGCACATCAGATAAGAACACAGCCAAACCCCCTTGGGCAGAGATGAAGAAAAGACCAGAGAGGATGGGGAGATGAAAGAAAGGCAGGAAGGAAAGAAAACAAAAGAGAGGTCAGAGTGACGAGAGGAGAGAGGGACAGAAAGAAATAACAAGAACGACGAGGCAGGTGAAGATCTGAAGGTGAAGAATCCGAGGAGGAGTGGAATAATCCAGGATTTCAGAACTGAACAGAAACAAAAATAAAAGCTGCGAGTGGGGGAAAGTGACTGGGTGGTTTGTGAATAATTTATTTTCTTTTCTTCCTACGAGTGACAAACATGAAGAAGAATGTTCACAGAAACAAACCTGTCCAATTAGTGAAAAGATGTCCTTGGTTCAACACAAAGCTGCTGTGACCATGATGTCTGATTAATTTAGCAGATTTTATTATTATTATTTTTAATATATTGCAGATCTAGCTCCCAGCATGCACCCCGTCTTGAAAAAAAAAACTACTTAACCAGAGATGGCACTGAAACAGCGATAAAAGCGTGCTTAAGGAGAATTTTACAAAATTACAGCCACGTTTGACCCTGATTTTGAAAAGATCTGAATGTGACCGTTTATTTCTGCGGCTCAATCACTTTGACAGTTTATATTTCAGACAGAGCATCTTGATTCTGTTCTGAGGGCTGATTTCATCTGTGTGCAAACAGGAAAAGACTCAGTCACAGTGTGGCTGGCTAGAGAAACCAGTTGTGCAATAATCCTTTTTTGTGATGTATAAGTTTAACATCTCATTAACCCCTGTTGATGCCGTTTGGCCCAGATGTTAATTACAATCATCTAAACGAAAGTGCCTCCCCCCTGAGCTGCAGAGGAGTCAGCGAGGAGCACATTGAGCTTGTTATTTACATGTTTGTGACTCACCGAGCTAAAAGAAGTGCCACCCGCAGCCAAAAGGCAGGCGATAATGTTTTTGCTGTGTCTGTGTGTTACCAGAACATCTCGTGAACTCTGTTAGCAACATTTTTCATGGACCACTTCATAGTTTTTATTGAAACTTGCAGAAAATAATCATTGAATGATCATCTACAACTGATTAACTTTGGTAAATATTTCAATTCAAGATGGCCACCACAGCTAGATGACATTGGCCAACACAAAAATAGCTATTACTCTGTCAGTTTAACAGATGTTGAGCTATAATTTGATGTGGTGGTAGCTGGGAGTTAGTCAACACATGCTCCGAGCGTGACATCCTATAGCACTGCATACAGATCACTTTATTTTCACTCTTTGACCAAAATAGCTACAACACTTTGTCTCAAAATCTCGTATGGAATATGGGACAACATACACTTCAGCAACGGCAAAATATTTCACAACCACAACTGACAACCTCAAGTTGAGTTCATTAATCCATCAACATTTAGATCATTTAAAATAAGCACGTGCGCCACAGAAGGAGAGAAAGGTTACAGAGAAAATGTTGCTGCAAGGGAAAAGGCTGACTTATCCTCCTCAGATGTTTTGATCTGGAACAGTAAATGGATGGAGGTCCCGCTTCACCTCACGCAAAATTCTAATCACCCACTTGATTTCGCACACCGCACTAGTTCTGCTCCACAAGGAGCACCTGAGAGTGTGTGTGTGAGTGTGTAGTAACAAGTGAGTGCAGAGAGAGGGACGTTTGGTCCAAAGTCCCTCCTTCCTACATCCTACAGGGGAGTCGAGCACATTTCCAGCTGTTTGCATCTGTTTCTCCTGATGCACTGACTGAATGTCTTGACTGAGTGTGTGTGTGTGTGTGTGTGTGTGTGTGTGTGTGTGTGTGTGTGTGCGTGTAGATGTGTGTAAACTGAGGTTCAAAAACCTTTGCCTGCTCCTCCTTCAAAAACAGAATTTCATGGTTTTGTTGCTCCTCTACAGTGGATTGTGTTGGTAATGAATAAAAGTGTTCATTGACATTTAGCAGATTAAATAAAGAATTAAGAACTATTCTGATGAAAAAACAAGTAACCCACTGGTAATTAAAAGCCTAGAGTTCCTTAAAAATGCATTTCTATCCACCTCCTTTCATGCTAGAGATTTGTATGATAGCTGTGGTGGCCATCTTGAATAGAAAATACTATCGGGCTGCTGTTGTTACACTCTATTGTTTTATGTTATTGGTGTTTAGCATATATATTAGAACTTTTAGTGTACAGTTTGGCATTTGTTTAGCGTATATATACTGTTTCGTTTTATACTTTATATTTTTGCTATTTTTGGGTGTAACTGGGACCTTGTGTACACAATTTTGTTCCATCTCATGTTCCACATATGGTGGAAACATCAATAAAATTGAACTTGAAAACAAAGTTAATTACTGGTAGCTTTTGAGAGTATTATTAATCTCTACCAACTGGTCCAAATAAGCCAAACCTGAACCTGGTCCATAAGATATTTTACTAAAGAGATGCTCATACACAGACACAGAAAAATCATGATCACCTTTGCCAGCAGGCATTAACTTAAAAAAAAATATATATATATATATCCTTTTTTTCACATAAATGAAAGAAAAGCAGCACTGACTGCATTAAGCAGTTCCAACCACATGCTTCTGGACCTTTGTATTATTCCAGTTCCTGTCAAAATATGTGATTCATAAAGTTTGGTACAATCATTGGGACCTTATTTAGAAAAACAGCATCATTTATTACCTGTACAACTGTTTCCAGACACTGTTTACCCTGAAAAAGTGACCTGACTTGCTGATTTGTTGGTGTATTGATTGGCCGTAGGAAATAAGACACTCATTTGAAAATCATAATAACTTCATTTGAGCAGCTCATGTAAGAAATGACTGCCTGCTGGGGTGGGACTGTTTGATGTGATGAGGGTAAGTCGACAAATGTGTTAAAGGCCACATGCAGAGGGTGTTTGCTAAAAGTCAGAGTCACATACTAAGGGCTGGCTGGATAAATGTCAAATGTTGCAGTGTCTCATTTGTGCACGATTAGTCATGGTTATTAGAACCGGTCAGAGCTTATGAAAGAAGATATGTGGCCTACTAACTCTGCCATTTCAAACTCTTTAACTTAAGCTGTTTGTTTTAAACAAGATAAAACATAAACATTCTAGGTTACATTATTGGTAAAATGCAAACGTGTGACCCAGAACTGGAGCGTTAAGAGATGAGAGAGCTTCCTACCTAGATCATTATCCAGCTCCTCCGTATGCACCCCTTCTACTCAGTGGGACGGACGAAGCAGCATCGGTGAAGAGACAAAGATGGGTGGGTTAGAGAGGAAAAGAGGCAAACGTGGGTTAGATTGGTGTAATGGCAACAGCTGGCCACTTGGGGGCAAGAGTTAATCAGAGCCTCAACATCCACCTCATCTGACAGAGTTTACAGAAAGAAAAGCAATAGTTATAAATGACACGGCACATTTGAGTCAAATGACCAGATCTCTGCATATTTTTGGACTGAAAGCTGCACATATACATTTGAGGTGCATGAATTAAACACTGCACTTCAGTTTGAGATAAAGAAATTGTTGGTATTCATTAAATGGAATGTGAGTAAGCCTTCTTTAAAAATACAGAAAATGAGGCAACTTGATCTGAGAGTACTGAACCATGAGAGTAGCAGAGCAGCAACACCTAACGACTAACCACTTCACTTACCCAACACTGACACCTAAGGGTTGCTGTGAAAAACTATTCGGAGTTGAACTTGAGTTCATCAAGGTCATGTTAAATTTGTCATGAGATGGTATTTGGTAAATGCATAATCGTGATGGAAATCAAAGAAACAACATCTCTAAGTGTTTTGTCTCCGATTTTTCAGTTTATAATAAAAATACAGATGTTTTTAAAAGCAAAAGACACATATAAATACAGCATCAGTGGCACGTGGCATTCTGGGTAATTGTGTGCACACAAAAACATACCATCATCTTCGCTTTCTTCCAGGGGTTTCTGAGATTTGTCCAGACTCCGAGGGTCTAACCAAGAGGTGGTCTTTGTATTATGGCTGAAGAGAACAAACAAGGACAAATTGCAGATCTTGAGATGAATCTTAATATTATTAAACACCATCCATCCATTATCTTTAACCGCTTCTTCCTTTTTTCGCATCGCGGGGGTCACTGGTGCCCATATCCAGCAGTCACTGTGCGAGAGGCAGGAGACACCCTGGACAGGTCTCCAGCCCATCACAGGGACACATAGAGACAAACGAGACAAACAACTATTCTTTGTCTCACTCACACCTAGAGACAATTTAGAGTTACCAATCAGCCTAACATGCATGTTTTTGATCTGTGGGAGGAAACTGGAGTACCCGCATGTACAGACAGAACATACAAACTCCATCTAGAGAGGCCCTTGGGCTTCTTCTTTTTTTTTTTTATTGCTTTCCCATACAGCTGGACAATAATTTGATAGATATATTTTGCGATATACTTTTATTCAATAACGATGATATGAGTTTTGAGCACATTTTCAATATTTCAATATGATTACAGTGTTTCACTGACGCATTTCTTTTTCTGTTCGGGTTGAAGCGGCAGCTTCAGTTTCAACCCGGACAGAAAAAGGTGTGACACAACTATGTAAGTGCGTGGTGACGTAGATGTTATGCAGAGCTCGAGTCCAGAAGGAGTCAGCGGTAGCAGGCTAGGCTAATGTCCAACGTGTGTTAAGTTTTCGCTTGAAAAATGAGTGCCCATGACCGTCAGAATGTGACTGAACAAGCTTTCACAAGCGAAGAGAAAGCAGACGACATAACTGATAAGAGAGGAAGGACTAAGTCGGCGGTGTGGAAGTGGTTCGGCTCTCTAAGATCCAATAAACTGCAGGTTTCAATGCTGCAAAATGTGACGGAGAGTCATTCTAACTAGCAGTGGGAACAAATCTAACTTGTTTCATCTGAAGAGTTTCCACTCGATAGAAGATGCTGAGAGTCAGAAGATGAAGAACAATAAAGTTTGAGCCAGCGTGTCCCTGAAACAACCCCCATTTAGTGGATTAGCGTTTTCGCCAACTTCGAAAACCTATAGCAGAATTAGCTTCCACTAAGTTTAAACACGGTAAATTTAAGTCAGCTAAAAGTTTTTTTATGACAGTTCTCCACACTGAAAGCATAAAGGAGAATGGTGATTTATACAGAGCAATGCTATGCTAGGCAGAGCAAAGCTAAACGCCACTCAGTGACATCAAAACCATCAGTCCCCCAACCCCCTACCCCCACCCTCTCCTATCTACCGAAACAGTCATGTTGTCAAAGATTTTAACATAAAAGCTAAACCAAACCAAAACAATAACATGAAAAACCCATTTTCACGCTCAGAAACAATTAGAAATGTTGCATATATAATTCCTACCCAGCATGCTATGCAACGCTCACACCGTCTCTGGGACGTAACTCTCTCACACACGACTTCACATATCTTTACTTTAATACAAACATATTTATTACAGCGAGAATATTGATGATGACACACAGCAACTTTGCAGTTAGTTTATAAAAAGTAGTTAACAAGAAAGAGGATTCCTAAAGTGAGTTAATTCATTATAGTAAATGACACGAGGGAGATGTCCGACACACATTGAATGCATCACTCTGCTTCAGCCCAGCAGAGTTCTGCTTTGCCTCTTTGGTTCCAATAGGCCGGATTAATTTCTGAAAGCTCACCTCTGAATGAGACATGGATGCTTTACCTGTGATTTATGAACCATTTTGAGTTGCGTTCACTTACGTTGTCACATTACAGACAGTCTTACAGTGTCAGAGACAGTGGATGATAAAAGTTAGCGCTTTAGCGTTAGCTTATGTAATTAAAAAAAAAAATAATAATCTGTTTAGCAGTTTAGAATTAAAGCAAATTTAGTTAGTGAATCAGCAAAGCAAACTTTTTGGTTAACTGTGTCCACCACTGCTTATACTTAATGTTTAGCTTTGAAAACAGGAAATGAAAATAGGTTTACATTAAGAACAACAGCAACATTTTAGAAATATGTAAGCATTATTTATACTTAATGCTTTTCATTATAATTTGCTTATTATAATTATAGATTTATTTACTTGTGTTTTGTCCAACAGAGGTAAAAGATCCAACTTAATACAAACCTCACAAAAATTGAATTTCTTTGTCTGAATCTAAAATAATAAGACAACTTACTAAATGAGCATTAATAACAGATTTTTAAAAAGTTACATAGACTATATACCACTAGTTGCTGCTTACTGACTGTTATTAAATTATCATTATTATTATGAGTTACTACTAATATATTTTCACTCTTTCTCTTTAGTTTTCTAGAAAAAGGCACAAATTCAAAGCAACCAATTAAGTTTGATGTTAAATTTAATTTGTTGAACACACTGAAGCTGGTTCTATGATACTTCAACGGGTCCCAAAAACAGTGCAAGAGTTGTGTTTGAGTTGGTAGTAACTTCTGTTTGATTTTGCAGACTGGATCATTTAATGTCCTTTTGTAAGCTGGAACCTGGTAAATAGGAAAAAATGTGTAAATCCTAAAAGTTTTAAGATTTCACCGAAAGTTAAAAAAAAAATAAAAAAGTGTAAAGAATAGAAACTTTCCAACGTCATAGAACCAGAAACAATCAAAAACCGAGGACAGTGAAGGTCTATGTATTTGTTTCCATGTCCTGTTACTTACTCTATAAAGTAGACCTCTCCGTTCTCGGTGTAGGCCATCTCCCAGTTGTCAGGCAGAGGTCCCAGCGGATCCTCCGGGGGAGGATGGCTCAGGTGAGAGTGTGACTGCTGTGTGCTCTCCGTGGTGGCCGATGGTGAGGGGGATGTCCCAGCGTAGGACAAGTCACTCTGGTGAGGGGCGTAGGGGCGCACCGGCTGATGAACTTCGTCTAATTCACTCGAGTCTCCTGAAGATGTCATAAACAGTTTTATGTTAAGATTATTTTTATTACACAGTACCAGCAACACCTTTAAGGATACAAAGTAGCCATGAACACACTGCCAACAGAACAGCCTCAACATGCTTACTGGTACTTCCTGAAACTACAAAGATAACTTGGGGGGGCAGTTCACACCGAGAACCACGACCTCTATTGTCTGCACCTGTTATCTCACTTTAACGCTCAATCACAGATAGCAAACAAACAACTTTTGGTTCCACTTTGGTGGAACAAACCAGAGGAAACGGTTTCAGGGCTCTTCTCAAAAGACCAATGAACATGGCGTAACTGAGTGCACCCAGTTCAACCATTTAAACAATCACATACAGAGCTCTTCACAAATCAGCACTATGAATGGCAGCATTACATGTTACCTTCACAAACACAGATAACCTTGTAGTTACTTATATTATCACACATTATTTCAAAGCTCATTAGTTAATTCTAGACTTTACGAGACATACAGCCAGGTGGCAGTATTAAACAGCTCTGAACGGTGATTTTCAAATAAATAAAGTCAAACCCAGAAAACCTAAACACATAAAACTCACCAGTCAAAGAAGCTGTTGAATTTGCTTCCAGAGTTCAAACCAGAGGCTCTTTCAGACATGTCCTCGTACCAAGTCACTCCATTTTCTGTCACTTCCTGCTGCGTCCCCACAACTTCAATCTCCCTCCTAGTTTAACCATTAGCTCTCAATTTCTCTTATTTATCTCAAAGGCCAAGAGTGACAAAAAGGTATGACTATAAGTAAGCTTGCAAACTACACACAGCCTGTTTTCAGGATGATTAAACACTCAGTGTGCAGGTCTGTTTGTCAAAGGTGTCCGCATCAGCTACAAAAAAAAAAAAAAGTTCACGTGCAGCTTTGCCCCGTCATTGGCTCCATGCAAGATAGCTGGAAGCTGGACAAACTGCCTGAAAGCATAAATGTGTGTTTAACAAAAACCTCATGAGGCATTCTGTTGCCAAACTGAAGCCAAATGTATGCCTTCAAGCCTTGTGGTCAATTTGTTGACCAAAGTGTTGATCCAAAGACATGAAAATCATATCTAAATGAAGAAGAGACCCAAAACAGCTAAAACCTGACTTCAGAGTGTGAATCAGAAGCACGGTGTGGACATTTTATAGTTTTGCTCACAGTAAGAAGCTGCACAACATAAAAGCAGTTTTGCAATTGAAGAAGGTCCTAACAAAATAATAAAATAAAAACAAAATCCTGAAAAATTGTCAAACAGAAGAAGCATTTACATGTTTTGAAGAGTATGCTCCTGCAAAATCGTACTGTATAACTTAGATTCACATCGTGCTTTTACAATACCGGGTATTTATTTTATTGTCATGCCAGTCCTGCCTTCAAAGCAGCTAATAAATAAAAAAACAGTGCCTCAAAGCCAGGTGACATTCTCACATGTCAACTGTTCAAGCTCTGTTGCTGCAAAGGTGCAACAGTGTCAGACTGTCGTTGACCCCAACAATTACCTGCAGGATCAATACAGTTCTGTCTTTTCTTATGGCACCGCCAGCAAGCCAAAAATTGCATTGAGATGGTCTGACATTTAAAAAAAATAATAATTTAAACATTAAAAAAATATATAATAATTTATTTGTAAAGCTGTGGTTTTCTAATGGTGCACGCCCGGCCATTGGAGGACGACTGCTCTAACCACTCAGCCACAGCCGCCCCAGTTAAGCTTTTGTAATTGTATGCACAGCCTTCACAATGATTTGTATAATGATTAAAGAAACATTTCCTGCTTGTACATTATCAGAGTCAGAGTCAAGAGTTTCTTTATTGTCATTCGCACCTCATGTGGTACATGTGGTGGAGCGAAATTATGTACACAGGGTCCCAGTTACATCCAACAATAAAATGTATAAGAAAAACAGTAATAACATCTAAGATATGAACTAAGAAAAACATCAACTAAATATACACTAAGCACTCATAACATAAAACATTGAACATCACCACAAACATGAACATGAGTCTGTGAGCAGATGTGCACGCATGAACACATCAACATTGAAACAGATCAGCAGCAACATGAAACAGATCAGCAGCAACATGATATGGTTTTTCACAGTGATTATTCTAGTTAGAGATTCATGAGTCTAACAGCCTCAGGGTAGAAGTGGTGTGTTATATCTCACATTAAAGAAGCAGTTTGACTTAAATCTTATCTTTAAAGTCTTTTGCACATATTCCACATTACTAACTCACTTTAAGGCTTTTTCACCCAACAAGTCCTCCTGGACTCATCACCAGTCAGTCACAGAACCAACACAAAGTGACAAGACAAACCAGCACCGACACTCGCATCTAAACACATGCACTGTTTCTGCTGGTGTTTGTGATTTTACCCACATACCTGTAAAGCTACTGTTCAGGTCAGGGAGGTCCTCGTCGTCTTCCTGTTGCTGCTCACCAAACCCTATTCCAGCATTTTGCATGTCATTGTAGGACTTGGCACGTTGAGGACTGGAGTGCTGAGAGCCCGGCAGGCTGCGGCTGAGCCTGTCTGGCAGTAGGGCATCACCACCACTGCTAATCACTTTCCCAATGGGGGGCTGCAGCGGTGGCTTGGGAGTCCCATAATAGTTACCTAGGAAACAAAAGAGGGGAGGGAGGGGAGAAAATGGGAGGTGGGAGATTAAACACAGAAAAGAAGTTGAGGGAGGATGTGACAGGAAGGGTCAAAGGGTGTGTGTGTGTGTGTGTGTGTGTGTGTGTGTGCGCGTGTGTGTGTGTGTGTGTGTGTGTGTGTGTGTGTGTGTGTGTGTGTGGGGGTGTGTGGGTGTGTGTGTGTGTGTGTGAGAGAGTGTGTTGGGGGGGGGGGGGGTATTATTTTTCAAAAAAAAGATGTTTTAAAAGTTTTACATTTTATTACAACTGGAACTAGAGAAATTGCATTTCCTGCAAAAATGCAGTGTGAATGTTTGCTGCTGAAGAACTTGCAGAAAAACAGCTGAAATTAGCTAAAAACCTGCTGAAATGTAGCCGAAATGGAAGAACAAGCCTAAGTTAATAGAATAAATCAGAAAGAACCTATATTTGCTGAATTAGGTTTGAATAAGCAGAAATTAGCACAAAATTTAAGAAATTAACTAAAAAAAAAAAAAGGGTGAAATTAGCAACAACAAAAAATAGCTGAAACGTCAGAAGGAAGTTTAACCAGAAGAAAGTGGAAGGAGCTGAAATGAGCTAAAAAAAAAAAAAAAAGTAGAATTAGCTGAAAAAGCTATAAAAATTTTTTTTTTACAGTAGCTGAAAAGGTAGAACAAGCATAAATTAGCAAAAGAAAGCATAAATGATACATATTTGCTTAAAAGAAGCAGAAATGAGCACCAAAATGTGGAAATTATCTGAAAAAAGCTGAACAAAGAAAAAGAACAACTAAAAAGTAGCTGAAAAAAATCAGAAAGAAGCTTAAATTACAAGAAGGAAGTGGGGAGAGCACATTTTTGCTGAAATAGGCTGAAAAAAGTTTTAATGAGTTCAAAAAATGTGGAATTAGCTGTAAAGCTTTAAATTTGCATAAAAAACAGCTAAATAGTAGCTGAAATAGTAGAAAAAGCTTCAACTTGCTGAAATTAGCAGAAATAAGTTAGAAGTACAACAATGTTGTAATTAGCAGAAATAATCAGAAAGAAGCAGAAAACTGCTGAAAAAAACAGCTGAAATTAGCTGAAAGATGCTGAAGCAGAACAAAGTCTGAAAGGAGCAGTAAAAGGTTGTAAACAGATCCAAAGAACTGAAGGATGCAAAATAAGCTCAATTCATTTTCTATAAGACAAAAAAAAAAAAAAAAAAAATGGCGGAAAAGGCAAATTTCAAAAAGTTGTACCAATACCAAAAGTCTTAGCAGAATTGTCCTAAAAGAGCCGAAATGTTTTGATATATGATTTGTTGAAATAGCTTGAAAATTGCGGAACGAGAATTGCACTGAAAAACGTATGGAAGAAAAATGGATCACAGTAGTGTGAATGTGTCATAAACATTCACACAATTAAAATGTGTTACTATGAACAAGTGCATTAGTTGCTTCTTTTAAGTCATCTTTGTTTGTGAAGAGTATTTTTTGTTAAGCAATTTAGCCAAACTGTTCTCTGTGCATGTAAAACCTGTCTGCTACACCAAGATTTTCAGAGTGGAAGGAGGAAAACATGCAGAAACCCAAATATGCTCCTCCAAAAAAAAAAACACATGGCAGCTCTAAAGACATTTTATCATTTGAAGTATAGAACATCCAAGCAATGTTTTATTTCAGACCAGGTTTTACTGAGACAGAACAGCGTTTGTAGTTTTTCCATATTTCCAAAGGCGTATTGAACATGAGTCTGATTTATTCTAATTATTTATGTACACATATTTTATATAAATCTAAAAACAATATCTAAAGATGTAAAGAAATAAAATATTTTACACTTGTATGATGTCTTGCATCGACATCCTTTACAGCAAGGTATGAGAAAACTCTGAATTTGTGATTACTCCAATAGTGTACACCAAACAAAAGTAAATTCTTTTACAGTGATCCGTCACTGCAGGGGTTATGTTACAGAGACCCCCACTGTAGGTAAAAATCCACAAAGTAGCAGCGTTATATTTATTTTATTATTTATACCAGTGTTTCCCCTAGATAACTTGCCATGGTGGGGCACTCATCTCGTCCATGATTTTTGTTGGGGTGGTGGGGGAGAGACGTATGCTGTTTGTACCGACAGTGTTCTAGCGGGGGTTGGGGAGTTCAGCATGAGGGTTCAGCATGAGGAAAGAGCTGCCTTTAGCTTTTTAGCTAGCACACCCATATTGTGTGCATCTAGCTTAGTGCTATGTCAGTGCCGGGGAGTGGGGGGTTAAGTAGAGAGGCCCAGACTTCCCTCTCCCCAGCCACTTGGGCCAGCACCTCCGGGGGAATCCCGAGGCGTTCCCAGGCCAGCCGAGAAATATAGTCCCTCCAGCGTGACCTGGGTCTTCCTCTGGGTCTCCTCCAGGTGGGACATGTCCAGAACACCTCACCAGGGAGGCGTCCAGGAGGCATCCTAACCAGATGCCCGAGCCACCTCAACTGGCTCCTCTCGACGTGGAGAAGCAGCGGCTCTACTCTGAGTCCCTCCCGGATGATTGAGCTTCTCACCCTGTCTCTAAGGGAGAGCCCAGACACCCTGCGGAGAAAACTCATTTCGGGCGCTTGTATCCGAGATCTCGTTCTTTCGGTCACAACCCAAAGCTCATGACCATAGATGAGGGTAGGACCTCCTCCCTGACCCAGACAGGGCACTCTACCCTTTTCTGGCTCAAGACCATGGCCTCGGATTTGGAGGAACTGATCCTCATCCCGGTCGCGTCACACACGGCTGCGAACCGCTCCAATGAAAGCTGTAGATCAAGATCTGATGAAGCCAACAGGACCACATCATCTGCAAAACGTGTTTAACGTATATCTTAGACCTTTTAGCGTACCGTTTGGTGTTCGTTTAGCATATCCTAGATCCTTATATACCGTTTCTTTTGATGCTTAATATTTTTGATATTTTTGGGTGTAACTGGGACCCTGAGTACATAACTTCGTTCCACCTCATGTACCACATGTGATGTGAATGACAAACTTGAACTTGGGCATGTACAGTACACACAAAATAAAAAACTGAGTTTAAAATCCAGCGATATAGTGAAGCTGCACAAAGTGAACTGCAATATGGTGAGAGACTACTGTACTTATTTCCTTAATCACAAACATAACATGTCTCTAGCAACAAAAGACCTAAGCTCATTTAAACAGGCCTAAACTGACATAAATTTAATGTATTTTGCACATAGTATTTTTGGGGAAACAACATCTACAGTGCAACATAGATTCTGTTTTGCTGTCTGGTCATAGTTGTGTCAATGTGATGAAGCACAAATGCACCATCTTCTACAGCAGCTCAACACTGAACAGAGGTCCCTCAGTGTGAGCAGCACCCCTTGCATCAGTCAGTCCCTACTTAACTTTACATTAATGATTTAAGACTTACAGAACAGTACGACTGCTAAATGTTCCACTGAGTCCAAATGATAGCCTTATTAATCATGTAGAACTAATATGAATTTCTTTAAAAAAAACAAATCGCTGTAGAACAAAGTTGAAGTTTCTTCCTCTACTCTTGAAAAAGTTGAATGCACGACAAATCTTGCTTTTATATGACATCGAGATCATGGTTTTAAACAGTGGTACAAGGAATTTCTTTCAGTTTAACCACTGAATGTTGATGCAACCAGTGAAACATTTGGCCTTTGACTAGAAGCTACAGTTGATTATAGTGTGGGTAATAACATTCAAGCACTAGTTCAAGGCAGAAAGACGACCACAAGGCTGTTTGTGAAAGACAACCCCAACCACTAAAATGTTATTTAACGGTTTCAGACCACTGTTTTAAAGATTTTGGGTAGCAGTTTTAGTTGTGTGAATGCAAATTTGTTAAAAGAACAAAGAATAAACCAGGGAACATAAGGATGTTACAGAGCCTCAGGCTTGGAAAGATATTTACTACAATGTTTCTGACAAGAACAAGAAATGTTTAAACTTTTTTCTTGATGTAAAATCATAATGATTTTAGAGGTAATTAGAGTTTGATACTAATTGCTTGCTTTTTTAATCTTTAACCTTTCATGACCCATCCTCCCAATATTGACCTTCTGACCCCAGACTCCCCTGTGATGGACCTGTGACCTGTCCAGGGTGTACCTGCCTCTCGCACAGAGACCGCTGGAGATAAACACCAGCTCCCCCACAACCCGGAAAGGAAGAGAGGGCAAAAAAGATGGATGGTTGGAAGGATACCCCTTACTCTTCTTGTACTCTTACTCTGCAGACCAGCTGTTCGCAGTTTCCAGAGCAAAACTGTAAGGGCTTCACAAGGGGTTCATTTGCAGATTGTTGCCATTTAGGTACTAACTCTGTTGGTTTAAAATTAAACTATTCCTGTTGCTAACACAAAACTTCATATGTTTGTTTCCCCCCATCAATAGAAGTTAACAAGAATAGATATAACTGATCAAGAAGATGGCATCATGTCAGTGAATTTACCTTCATATGTTCCTATTTCCAGCAGAGTTCCACTTTTCTCCAACTCCAAGAATTCCTCTACAGAGAGGAAGTTGTAGTCCACGCCAGGGACTTCTCCTTCACGTGGGGTGCGGGTTGTACCTACGCAATCAGAGACAAGGTCGAAGTTAGATGATCACCTGGGACTAATATAGCACTGAACTCACAAACTTCAGAATATATCGAAATTGTTTGTATTTAAAACCTGATTGGCAAAATGTTACATTTGAATACACTCGACAGAGACGTTACGTCATAATCCAAGCATTTTATCATCTTAAAGCTCTGATGCTACTATAACATGGATAAAGAGTAAGAGTAAGTAAGATAAACTGAAAAGCAATTTAAAAAAGTTTTCAGAGGGATTGTTATAATATCTGGAAGTTTTCTGAGCACGCAGTTAAAGTGTGAACTAAATGCCAGAAAAAAAAAAATTCACAAATATCAAAATTTATTAAGAATGATATCACATGCACGTTAATTTTTTTGTTTGTTTTGTCGACCCTGCACTAAATTCAACACATCACAAGCAAAAATTATTAGATTTCCAGTTTGTAAATGCACTATTGCTAAATAGCTAATTTGTACGAGCAATAGCACGCCTTTTGTGTAGAGGGTTTAACTGTGAAGAGTCAGATTTAGTTCATTGTAATATTTGGAAAATGTCCAAGCTTGCAAAGAAAAATGCTCAAAGGTTTAGAGCACATAAAGGTCTTCCAAAGAAATCTGAATTTATAGGTCAGATCTTTACAATCATCAAAAACTGGAATTACCGTTGAAAGCTGAATGGTGTTTCTCTAGTTTGCCCTAGTAAGAATGATGGAAATAACCAGAGAAGAGCAGCAACACAACGCAGGACAAAAGAAGAATGTCTCACTCTACACTGATGTCTGACCAAACAAGGGAGATTATCTATTGTTTGTTGATAGTCCTTCACGCTGGGGTAGAGTGTGAAGTATTGTGGTAGTAACACCTAGTGAGATCCTACCATATGTTTGGGGAAATTCTGTGTGCGTGTGCACGTGTGTTGGCATGTAGCCTGTGAGACATGAGCGTTGCCTTAAATGGGTGCTGACAGTTGGCCGGCATGGCAACAATGGCAAAAAGTGTTACAACTGAAACAATGGTGAGTATTTCTTTTTCATGTTCTTCACCCTGTTTCTGTGCTTGCTTATGGATATTTGTATAGGAACATATACAACCAATGGCATCTATTTTATTACAACACAGGTCTTTTCCATCCTCTTTTTGTGTTTTCTTTGTTTTTTCCTTCTTCCATCTCCTGATCTGTTCATCTCCCAATCACTTCGTCTCCAGCGTGCTGGTAAGCAATAAGCAGGTAAAAATAGATGTGTGGCAATATGAGGACATGCACCCTCCGCTGCCACGCTTCGTGACACTGGTGATAAATCACAGGTGTGCACATCCTCGCTGAAAGCAAATGCTTTACAGTCACGCAGGCATGCAATAAACAGAAAGGAAATGCATGTGGTCTATTTCTGAAAACCATCATTTTCTCACACAAAATGATCTTAACCTGCATCAGCTCAGTCTTCCAGCTGTCACAAAAATGCAATAAATATTGCAGGTTATTTTAATTTCATGACATCTAACGGGGCATATAGAGAAGGAAATTGTTCATATGCATCAATAGTATTCACAATTAGAGCCCACAAATGTGCAACGATACATCAGTAATAAATTGATTTAAAGTCATTTAGATTCTGTCGAACAAATCGTTTCAGTTTGCTCATTTTCAGGCACTACATCAACCTTGGGAGCGTCTTCGGCCGAGCCTGAGCGTTCAGCCAACTGTCAGCTTATTTCCCTCACAATAGTAGCCATTGATTCATCTACATCTAGACACTGTTCTTAGAAAACCAAAATGGAAGCAGAATTGTGACCAGTCTATAAAAAGAGAGAAAAACAGAGTCTTGGCTTACATCAATGAGTAAGATACAGTAATCACTGTGGGTAAATCAACTCAATACAACATTCCAACAAAAGCTCTATTGACCAAGCTGTGAAATAAAGTGAGAAGTAAAGGCAGGCTGAGAGTTCTTTACAGAGACTCCTGCTAGAGTTGGGATGGGATGAGCTAAATGAGTGTTCTCTTTCCAACATACTGGCAAATAATAGAGCCTCTCAAGGCTAGGAGCTGGCGTTATTTCCTACTTTTGGCAAATTTAATAAGCCACGCAAGTTGATATTTAGGGTATTCATTGGACACTGACTAACATGTAGCTTAACAGCTTCAACACTGTAACCAGCAAAGATGAGTTGGGGAGATACAAACAACAAAAAGTGTCTCAGTTTCTGATATTGCAGGACACAATCAGCTGTGGGTCAATTTGTCCCACTCCCAAACTGTTTCACTTCACACCTGATGGGTACAAACTGGATACCATTTTGATTAAATCACCAGTTTGTACGTATGCAGTCACCATAGGCATGTTTCCCCATATATACACGACCCTGCATGCACTTATGCACGTTTTACAAGCAGCATGAGCTTAACATAACCCTGCATTGAGTTGTGCTTTATTTCAGAGTGAACATTAGTCTACACCATAATGGAGTTTTCTTATATTAGGTCTACATTGTCAACCCTTTCAAAGTGCTGATGACAATTTAGCAGTTATTTCTTATTGATCATACTTTCAACTGTTAAGAGATTATGTAAAACACGGTCACAAAGCTTTAAAAGCTTAGAAAATGTATTTTGAATGTTTTATTATGTATGAAAAAAATGACTTGAACATGGACTCAACGGGGGCAGCACGGTGGTGCAACTGGTAGAGCTGCTGCTTCTCAGCGAGCAGGTTACCCTGGTTCAAATTCTGGTCCGGGGGCCTTTCTGGGTGGAGTTTGCATGTTCTCTCCATGCATATATGGGTTTTCTCCGGGTACGCTGGTTCCCTTCCTAAAATGTCTTCAGGTGTGAGTGAGAGAGTGAATGTTGTTTGTCTCTGTGTCCCTGTGATGGACAAAGACCTGTCCAGGGTGTCCCCTGCCTCTCGCACCATAATTGCTGGACATGGGCACCAGCGACCCCTGTGACCCAAAAAGAAAGAAATGGGTAAAGAGGATGGATGGATGGATGGATGGATGGATGGATGGATGGATGGATGGATGGGTG